TCATGGAGCCGGGAGGAGGCTCGCAGCGTGCCCTGCGGAGCAGAGTGCAAAGTGAGCAGGGCCCGGGGACCCGGCACTCAGGCAGGCTCAGTCCCTCCTCCACAGGCCGTCCACTCCCAAAACCGGGGAGGGGAACATGGCCACGGAGGGAGGAGGTGGCTAACGGAAAAAGGCTGGGGCTGATGGGATACAGGTCATTCCGGTGGAGGCCACTGTGTCTCAAAGGAGCTCCCTCCTCAGGATGAACCTGGGACAGGCCGGGCGAAGCCCGACCAGTCAGCGGGGTGAGCAGCAGCAGAGGCCACCACTGCGTACCTTGACAAAGACCACTCCTCGAACGGCTTTCAGGATCAGCATGACGACCATGGAGAGGGCATAAACGCTGGCATAGTACTGCATGTGAGGATTGTCCTTCATGCTGCTGCTCACGGAGGTCCTGTTCCCGTGGCTCACCGTGCTGTTCTGTTTAGAGACAGGGCTCTGTGAGGCAGGACTCCCAGGGATGTCCAGGAACCCTGCTCAGGGCCACTCTCAGCTCAGGGGAGGGCGCAGGATAAGGACTCTGGGACCTGGTGTGGCAAACACAAGGAGGGCTTTGTCCCTCCTTCGCTCTTTTCTAGTGGACGAGGGCAGACAGCCCACAGGTGCGCTACGATAAGCTCTACCGCGTCTTGAGTTGGTCAGGGAGCAACTGTATTGTGAGGTTACATTAGGGAGCCCTCTTTTTCATCCTGGGTGACCCCTGTTCATTGTGTCTTTTAATCGAAAACTAGTTTCCTTAAGAATGGTCAGGGAATATGGAGAGATGGCCATGTTCTTAGACATGTAATTTTCCCATTAATGAGGAACCTTACCCCACTTCCTTCCTTGATCCAGTAACTCAACCACCAGTTGCTGAAGGCGGTACTGCCCACGTTCAATGTGAAGAGGGATATAATGAACAAGAAAGCCAAGGGGCCCCCGGCAGCCTGAATATAGACACCGTACACGGACCACGGCACGGAACCCTGCCCCTTCTCTTCCGCTTGCACCAGCTGCCCTAGGGGAGAAAACAGAAACGAACTCAGAAAGAAAAAGCTACTTTTCCAAAACGAAGGCTCCTATATAGAAGATCAAAATCAAAGAGCCTATAGCTTCATGGGGCTCTACTCTAGTTCAGAATTACTTCCTCTTTATCAGAAGCATTCATTCATTAAGCACCTCCTATAAACAGGCCCAGGACGAGACCCTGGAATAGTCAAGACGAGTAAGGCCAGGTTCCTGCCTTTGAGGGTCCTTCCACGGTCTGGTAGGACAGACAGGTAAATACACATAATGCTAATAAAATGAGTTAAATGCAATGCTAGAGCTATGCAGGGCAGCATGGGATGCCTAGGAGGTATAGCTAACCGACTTGGGGAAGCTGTGCAGTGCTTAGCAGGGAGGTTTCGGGGAGGACTTTATGTGCAGTCCATATAGCACCTTGAAGGTAAGCCAGAGTCGGGCAGTTGGGGGGGACAATGGGCAGAAGAGATACGTAAGCAGCAGCACAGAGGCATGGAAACAGCAGGACAGGAAGTCAGACAGTCACGCCAGTGCAGCCTGAGCAGTGTGTGTGCCGGTGGAGTGGCAAGGGACCAGGTGGATTAGGCAGGCTGAGCTCTGTCAGAGGTACCCGAACATTACCCTTCAGACAAGATCTTCTCGAGAATGGGCTACAGGTGTGTGGAGATTTGACCCCCAGCCCTACTGGGCTAGAAGGGCCTGGGATGGCCAGTCCAGTCACCTCTGGCAGCGAGCAGCCTCTTCCATGCACCCCAGCACCACACGCTAACAATGGCATGTTCTGTGTGTGCCATGTCAGGGAAAAAGGCTGGAAAACACTGCTTTGACAATGGGAGGAGGCCACTGGAGACTCCATGCAGGAAGGTGAGCTGGTTGGCCTCCTGTTTTCAACTCTATCACCCAGCTGCCTACATGGAGGACGGACAGCGGTAACCTAGGTACAAGATGATAAAGGCAATAGGGATGGAGTCTTGGGAGTAAGTTCAGTAGGACTTGGTGACTACGTAGGGGCAGACAAGATTCAAAGGTAGCACCAGGGGTTCCCTGGCAGGGTCAGGTGACCGATGCCCCACAGGACACCTCTTCCTCTTCATCACACACTTTGAATTGTGTGGAGCAAGCCACACAGGCCAGGAGCACTTTAACAGTTGCCCATCTCCAGGTTGGTGGCTCTGCAGAGAACAAATGTTCCCTGAGGACATTCTGGCTTTCTGAACTGCCTCGGGCAGGAACTGATACATGTCTCAGCCAGCCGGGCTGTGTTTGTTTAGTGCGTGTGAGTAAGCTATCTTAAATCACACCTGAATTCAAAATTGTTACCTGGTTTATTAAAAGAAAGAAGAGGATGGTCCACTCCTAACACCGAACACCTGCTGCAGTTTTAAGACCCAGGAAGTGAAAACAGAGGCAAACCCAGGATTCAAAACCTCAGATTCAAAACCTCAGGTGAGGACATGATACAACAGAAAGAGAGCTTTAAACCAGGACTGCATTCTTTTATTGAGGGGGCGGGGAGGAGTGGGGACTGACTTGCAGCTTAAAATTCACCAAGGTGAAGACACCTGAAGTATTGTAAATTGCTTTTCTAACTCCCAAGATTTGTTTCAATTGATAAGATAAAGTGTTGAAAGAACAAGACTCTGGATAGGGAAAGTCGGTGGGAGAAACCCAGGGGGGACCTCGCCACAGGGCTGGGGCATCTCCAAGAAGCACCCCATTCCAACAGGGAGAACGCAGGCGTCCCTGGAGGGCACCGGTTTTTAAAAAGCACAGGTGAATCACGGGACAGGTATATCTTCCCCCTTTTTTCATACTCAGGATGATTCAGCTATAATTACCTGTACCTGACCCCACCCTGCACAGGAAGGGATGGGACCAAAGGCCATTCTTGTTGCCTTGGTCTGTTTAATCGAACAGAAGGTGCCTCACAGTCTCCTGATACTACATAAGAATGCTGTTGTTCCGGGCATATCAGGCCAGGTACTCCACCACACACAGTGTTATCAAACACCCACAGTCTTATCAAACATCATGGGTTACCACAGGGCATAATTTCTGATATACTTTAATGACAAATCTCAAAAAAGGTCATTACCTTCCTCTGGCTTCACTGCTTTCTCCTTCTTTACTGATCCTGTTTTGGGACCCTTGTCTTGTGACTTCTTCTGTGAACCACTGGTTTCCTTTTTTGAATTAATCTAATGTTTAAAAAAAAAGTGTCTCCATTTATGATATGGCCATTCAGACAAATGTCCACGCGACATATGAGAGAATCAAGTCAAGCTGCTGGTATTACTGAACAGCCATCCTTCCAACTTCTTAAAAGGACCACCTATCTTCATTTCTTGTACTTCCTCAGCTCCTTCGAGCTCTGAGCTCTGTTATTCCATTGACATCGCCCCTCCCAAAGTCACTGAAGACCTTTAATTCCAAACACAGTAGGCTCTATGTTCTCATCCACTCCAACTTGTCCCAAGTATTAAGGCTGGGCCATTTCCATTCCTCCCACCTCTGATCCCCACATCCCTAAATAAAACCAGAGGGCTGATCATTTCCCGCTGCGACCAGAGGAGAGCCTCTGCCTCCTCAGCCTGGCTCTGTAAGACCTCCACATCCAGGCCCCAGCCTAACTGCAAGCCCCTCTCCCATTCCTGGGGCTCCCACTCTCACGCCAAACTGGGTTTCCTGCTATTCCTCGTATCACTGTGACCTCCCACTTTGTCCACTTTGGTCCTTCACTTGGATTGCCCTCCTCTCGTCCCAACACAGTCACAGTTGTTCTCAGGCAAACAGATTAAAATCTTACACCCTCCCTGAGGTAACTCAGAATTGTCTAGAATCGAGTTCAGCCCCCACACCCTCCCTCCCCCAGGCACTTTGTTAGTAGCACTCCATGACAGCACAGTGGCTGTAAATCAGACCTGGTGAAGAGCATGGTGCACTGGTCTTCCCTGAGACCGCGAGTCCCTCAGGAGGGGGATGACATCTCACTCGTGGTTAGAACTCCGCAGGGCCTAACACCCAGAACTTCCCATAACAGGGCACAGAGGAGCTTAGTAAATTTGCATCAAATTGAACCCAGGAGATTAGAAACCATTTAACGCTCTCCTTTCCAAGTTCCCCTTCTCTCATCACAGGACCCTAAATTCTTTATTTAGTGCATACATGCATAAATGTAAAGCGGTGGTCGCCAACCTTTCAGACCTCACGAACCGTCAGGGGTCCGCGGGACCACCGGTTGGCGACTGCTGCTCCAAAGGTTTCCTTAAACCAGCGGTTGCCAACCTTTTGGACTTCACGGACCACCGTTTGGTGACTGCTGGTCTAAAGAGAATACGTCCATTTGCTGACCACTTACTCAGGTAAGAACATTACATATTATTTCATTTAACTGATGCAACAAGTCTAAGAGGCAGATGCCATCTCCATTTGTAAGACGGAGAAACTGAAGCTCAGGAGAGTAAAGTGACAAACAAACTGAAAGTGTGCTCCTCCGCTACAGCTCACAGACTGTCCAAGTCTATTATTGCTCCTTGGACATTTCGTACTTTAGATTCTCTTCTCCTCATTTTCCTCTGAATCTACAGTGAGGAGGAAATGACCTGAAGAGTAAGTGTTCTGAGAGTCACAGGGAGAGATCATAAATTCAACTCTGCATTAGGGTGTCTCTATGAAAGTTACCGATGACACTTGGAATAATACTTGAGTTATTCCAAAAGGCAGAAAACAAATTGGTCTTGAACAGTTGTACTGCACCCAAAATCAAACAGGATGAAACCGAACGACTCCCAGAAAAGATCCCAATAACTGCCTGCGTTTAGCCTCACAGACATCAGAATGATCTGGTAGCTGAGAAGTAGCCTATAGCCCAGCCTGAGTGTACTCCTAGGACCCAAGGTGCCCACAGAATAAGGACTTTGCGTGAGAGCAGGTTGGCAAGAAGGAAGAACAAGCGATTTGGCAAGCTCTAAGTAAGTACTCCCTTGGATTTGCCCAACTTGGAGCCGAGAGTAAAGCCATGGAAAGCTGCCATCTTTCAGTGTTGCCACAGGGGGCAGGCAGCATGCCAGAAAGAGCCCTTTAGAGTCAAAGTGCCCTTGTTAGTATTAAAAAAAAAAGGCCCCAAATGGAGTCACTTTTGCTAAGCCACACCAAGACTTAGTACTAACCTAACTGCAGTTTCAGCCTCTCCCAGGAGTGCAATTTCAAATCCTTCAGTCTGGAATTTCCTGATCAACACTAGTGAAGTAACCTGCCTCTTGACCGGTTTGGCTTCCCTAAAGGGAAGATGACTTCGCCTGAAATAATCCACTTTTTAAATCTCTTCTTCCCACCCTCTTTCTGCCCTTCCAGTTGCTAGCAGGGACGCTGTCGATTCACAAATCACTTGATAAAGCCAATTAGTTCTTCAAATTTACACGGTTGAATTTTGTGGTTTAACATTAGCAAGCTGTTTAACTTTCCTGAGTTTCCATTTCCTCAGCTGTAAAAGTAAGAGATAATCATATTTTGTCACAGAACTCTGTTTAAATGACTAAAATAGGATGAAAGCTATGAAGTGCCTAACCCAGTAATTAGGACATAATAGTTGTCAGTTAATGAGTGAAAAGTCAGCAGCCAGGGTACCACGGATCATTTTCAAAGGTATGCAATGATGAATTTCTCTTCCCCGGTTCCTTATTCACTTGTTTATTGAAAAAGGAGCTTCATATGAAAGTAACCCCACGGGGTGATCTAAACATTAATCTTTAACTGGACAGGTCACGGAGGGGAGAAGTGCCCCAGGCCTAGAACTTCTTTAGTAGGAGGTTTATCTTTGCCTTAAGCAAGCCCTATTCTTGTGCATCTCGGTTAACACTAGAAAGACTGAAATTTAGTATATACCTTTATTGCCTAAAAGCAGTCCAAATGACTGCATCGTGAAAGAATAACTAATGTGTAAAGAAATTTGTTTAAAATTAATTTTTAATATTTTTTATATTATTTACAGTTATATAACAAGTTATTTGTCATTTCTTTCATGAATTTAGGGCGCAAAAGAAATAAAATAAACAACTTATTAGAACAAGTATTACTGCATAAAGATTTGACTTTAGGCATATACTGTGTAAACCTGCACCTGGCTTTTGACGGAAATAATTGCTCGTCAACTGTTACATTTTGCCCTGGTTGATAGCAAGCTTGACTATTTTCAATGAACTTGTCCCATATTTCCGAAACCAAGGCAAACTTATTTATTTGTAGGTGCCTACTTCTTTTGGTTCTTTTATCAAAACGAATAAATCGTAGGATTTGCTTGAACTTTGCTCTGGCCATAGTTTTTCTAAAAAATTCGGGACCCTACTTTGCTGACGATAAATAACTGAGTTTTAAATTTTTTGCCTCGTAGGCTCCACGAGCATATAAAATCCCAATAAATGCATGTATTTCCGGTAATGTTGTTGTCCAATCGTTCCTCAAAATTCGGCGGCCTTCTTCTTCTGTGCACTTTTTTAACCCCCCCTCTCCAAGCAGTCAAAATGACTGCTTTCGGGCAATATAGGTATAACACATATATATATACCGGAAATGAAGGAGGGGGAGGTAACTACAATTATTAATAAATGCATTTATATGTTGTATAAAAAGTCACAAAATTCTAAGAAATTCTGTCATTATATACATCATTATTTTTCTAATTGAAATTAAAAAGCAGTCAAAATGACTTCCTTGGGCAATCTAGTGTTAATAAACCTTTGAAATGCCAGAGTAATCCCTTTTCCCAGACCTCTCCAAAGCTTAACCACCCTCAAGAGAGCACATCCTCTTGTTAACTGCCACGTAATCTAATCCCTGCCCTGCTTTTTCCCACCTCCATGTAATCTTCCTTACGTTCCCTCCTTCATTCCAAATGTATAAAAGGATCTGCAAACTGACATTCTCCAGAGCATCTGAAATCTTGCTTCCCAGCAATGTCATCGGTTTGGCTCAAATAAATTCATAACAGTTCTCTACAGGTTTGGGCGTATCTTACTTTGAGAACACACAGAGCCCATATTGTTCTCCCTGTCAGGACCTCATTAATAAGTCCTCACTGACAGAAGTCCTTGGCTCACCAGCCCCACAATCCTGCTCCCCTAGAGTAGTATGTGAGCCAAAGCACAGCAGTCTGGTCACCAGAAAATAGGGCTCTGCCAGTAAAACAGGCACCGAACTCGGCTGGGACCCGTCAACCCTCAGTACGGTCATGCCTCCCTTGCTAGAAAGGAGAGATGCATAAACGCCACATAACTCTTACCTCAACTGGGGGCGTCTCTCCCAGCAACAGGTTATTAAAAATGGTAGCGTAATCACCATTTAGATTCATCAGTTCTTCATGGGTGCCCCTTTCTGTAATACAGCCCTCTTTCATGAAGATCACTTGGTCACAATCAGCCAGGTACTAGAGACAAAGGCAGGGATGACCCGGTGTTACTGATATTTGTGCAAATATTCCAGTCACTCCTACCTTAGTCTAGCACTTCCCACCTAGAAGCGATTGAGCCCCCCAGGGGACATCTGGCAGTATCTGGAGACACTGTTGGTTGTTATAACTGGGGAGAGGGGTGTTAGTGGCCATCGAGTGGACAGAGGCCAGGGAGGCCTAGGACAGCCCCCCCACATCAAAGAGCTATGTGGCCCAATGTGTCAACAGTGCCCAGGCTGGGAACCTCTGCTCTAGTTTATTGAGAGGCAGTTCCCAGTTCCTCCAGTTTTTGACGTAAATCTCCTGGTGGAGCCATAGGAGCCTTGCATTAGCCTTCACCCTGTTACTACAGTCAGAAGTACACACAATTACTGACTTCCTGGGCAGGGTGGGAGTGAACCCCCAAACCTGACAACATACGCAAAACAGATGGCAACATTCTTGAGCTGCTCTCCGAAGTGGCTGCTTGTCATGGAGTGACAGAGGGAGAAGACCTTGCTTTCCCTGAACAGTTCCTGCTTAAATTAACATAAAGCTTTCCACTATCTCATACTCAAACTCTATTTTCTACCTACCCTTTCCTTCACTTACTGATTTATATGTAAAAGCTAACATGCTCCAAGGATCTCTGATGCAGATAGCCACCTGGTACAGGGGTACAACGAGCTTTATTGCTACAATGGGCCAGGCGGCTATTTGCTGAGGAAATGAACACTGATGGTTTCAGAAACTTCTAGAAGACCACAGGGTACCTAGAAGGACCAAGCCCCCTTCCTGTCTGATTTCTCAGGACACAGTGGGTGGCCGGGGGAAGGAAGAAAGCACCATACCTGTAGCTGGTGGGTAACAAACAGAACCGTCTTGGACTTGAGGTGCTTCTGGATAGCACTGTTGAAGATGTGGTTGCCCACATGGGCATCTAAGGCACTGAGGGGGTCATCCAGGATGTAGATGTCCCGGTCACTATACAAGGCTCGGGCAAGGCTGATCCTTTGGCGCTGCCCACCACTCAGGTTGGCTCCTCGCTCGCCGATCTATAGGAGCCCAGAAAGCATAGTGGAGCCGCCAGCTCAAGTCCAGAACTGGGTTTAGTGACTACCCCAGTCACCACTCCTCTCCTCCACCCAAAGCGGCATCTTCTACTGAATTCCCTGCCTGGATGAGTGGCCACTACGATCCTCCAGGGCCCACAGGGCGGAGTCAGCCTAGATACCTCCTTCGCTCCCACAATCATCTGGTTACTAAATCCTCATCTGGCCTTGCCACCCCCTGGACACCCTACTCCAGCCCATCCTCTATGGGCAGAATGAGCTTTCCAAAACATAAAGCTAGCCATGAACAACCTTCCTTAAACTCTTCAAAAGTCCTGAAGGATAGAATTTAAACAACCAAACTTGGCATACAAAGCAGGTTCCCAGCATCTCCCAGCACACCCTGGGACAGAAGCCATTAAATTGTGGATATATTATGTGCACACATGACTAATGTCACACCTTCTCCTGTACTATTCCTGCTCAGTTCTGGCATCCTCTCCTCTGAAAATCCTCCCCATCTCTTCCTTACTAACACTGAAAAGAAAGGGATTCTTTCTCATCAGCTTGTTTTGAGCCTCATGTGTGGGTGTCCGATCCTCTCCACTTAAGCTTTCTGAGGGTGCAAGTTATTGTCTCATTCCTTTACATTCCCAACACCCAGAAGTGTCTGCACATGCAGCTGGCACACAACAAGCACCTGATTAACATTACTAAATGGACAAGTGAATACATTCATTGTAAAATGGTAATGGGCCCTGTAATTTTAAAAAATCTTGTCCTTAAAAAAACATTCAGTTAATGCAAAGGTTTTCAAACTTGAGCAGGTATCAGAATTACCTGAGGACTTGTAAAAACAGGTTTTTGGGCCCCACGCCTAGAGTTTCTGATGTCGGAGGTCTGAAGTGAGGCCTAATAACTTGCATTTCTAACAAGTTCCCAGTGTCACCGAATGCTGCTGATCTGGGCACCTTGATTTGAGAGCCAGTGAACTAATTAAACCATTCATAAAACCTGAGGGATTTAACTGACGTCAGCTGAAACACGGGTGCCAGGCCCACAGACCTCCGGGGCAGGTCATGGGAGATGTCTCGGGACTCAAAAAGCCAGTTCCAAAGACACAGCTCTGGAAACTGCTCCAGGGCAGAGAACCGAAGAAAGGGATTTGTGCAGCGGTCTCTTTCTTTCTAATGGGAGAGGGCTCTCTACATACTTCATCTGAGCAAGGAGGTTGGCAGAATGAGGTTCAGGGAAGAAGCTCAATGTGCACATGCTTGACTCATGGTTTTAAAAATGAGTAGTGCAGAAAACACAAACTCTGAACCAAAAATGGGATTTTGTTTAAAATCCACCTGACAGCCCTAACCGGTTTGGCTCAGTGGATAAAGCGTCGGCCTGCAGACTCAGGGGTCCCAGGTTCGATTCCGGTCAAGGGCATGTACCTTGGTTGCGGGCACATACCCAGTGGGGAGTGTGCAGGAGGCAGCTGATCGATGTTTCTCTCTCATCGATGTTTGTTTCTCACTCTCTATCCCTTTCCCTTACTCTCTGTAAAGAATCAATAAAATATATTTAAAAATATATATATAAAAATATAAAATCCACCTGACATATGAAATATTTATACACTTAAAACAGGTAGTGTTGATATGCCTGCCCCAAGGCATAAATGCTTTCCTAACATAAAGTACCAGTGAAAGTGGATCTCACTGTGTAGGTTTTTCTCCCACGCATTTAAGATGCACTCCTAGGAGGTGACTCCAGCAGAGCCCTGCCCCTCATCTCCCAGGATGCTCTCTGCTACATCCACGCCCCCATCGGGAGCAGAAGGCTTGTACCTCAGTCAGATCACTGTTGGGGAGAATGGCCAGGTCAGGCCGCAGGCAGCAGCTGTTCAGCACAGAGTTGTATCTGAAGAAGATAGAGACCTAGCGTCAGGGACACGGTTGGAGTTGAGCCTGTGGCTTGGGGGCCTTGCATCTCACACAGCCTAGACAGAGAGCATGACTGAAACCAAGCATTCCTTGCCTTTCTTCATCAAATTCCTTCCCAAAGAGGATGTTGTCTCTCAGCGTGGCATTGAGGATCCAGGCCTGCTGGGCCACATAAGCGAAGGTTCCGCCGACTGCAATGCTGCCCTCTACAAGTGTCATCTAGGGAGACAGCACCATCCAATAGTATCACAATGCAAAGCCATCCCCCCAAAGCCAACAGAACCCCCCACATTCCACAATCAAGTTGAAAGCTTTGACAGTTTCCTTGGTTGCTTTTTGGGCCCAAAACCAGACCCCACCTTTGTTCCACAGGTAGCTTCAGCAGCAAAGAAAATCAAAGGTCTCCTTGCTTATGTGCAATGGGAGCCCAGACAACCCATGACTTGAATGAACCAACACTTCATTCAGCAACCTATGGGCTACTTTACATCCTTTCTTTCTAAAGCAGTGGTTCTCAACCTTGGCTGCACATTAGAGTCACCTGGGAATCTTTTTAAAATCCCTATTTCTGGGCCTCATCTT